CAATTTACCAAAAATCTGTAAACCGCTTAGAGAGGGCTGAAAGCCCTATGAAGCGGTATATAAGTCTAATAAATAAATAAATAAATAAATTCATCACAAAAAAGGGAATTGATTTGCATTTATTTAATTTAGATATTTATTATTCCCATGTGCTATTTCTTCAAACAGCCAGGGACATAAGATTAATGAGGCTGCTTCACAAAAGTCACTTTCTTTTGGATGGTGTGCAAATCTGAATACTAGTGTCCATGTCTCTTGTTTAGTTTGCTGTGTGTAAACTGTTGAGAATCTGCTGGTAAACTTTCCAATAAGAACACATCTAGTAGAATAGATACTTTCACTACCTGAACATATGATGAGCATTGATGTTCTTCTCCCATTCATGTTTGTATGTAGAACAAGATCTTGTATGAAATCAATGTTCATAGGTACCTGCTTGTTTGATTGATTAGATGCCACAAAGTCACTGCTGACTCCTAGCAACCACATGGATGGATTTTTTCTATGAAGATCTTTCAGATCTTCCAATGATGCACTCAGTATCAATGTAACACAGACTGCCCACCTTATTGCTGGCCATCCTTTTCTTCTCTTTCTATCCCCTTGCACAACATTAGAGTTGTCTCCAGAGAGCTAGATCTTTGTAAAATGTTTTGGTAAATGTAAAGGCCAAGTATGAAAGAAAAATATTGAGATTCTAAGAGGAAAAAAGTCATATGAAGTCATAGTCCGCATGGTGAAGTGATTAGAGAGGCTTCCCCAGCTTGCTGCCTTCCAGTTTCCACATATGCTGTACCTTGTGCAGGCTAAACATATTTCATGAGCACCAAATTGAGTCAAGCTTAGATAAGAATATGCTGCTGAGACCACAGTCTAAGTTCCTGTTTAGGTTTTATTAGTTGATGATTTTGCCATCTATTGTTGGAAGCCATGAGCTATTGTTAAAATTTGGATAGTGGAATGAAGGCACAGAAAGTGAGTAGGAACATATCACACATATATGATAGTTAAAAGAGACTTTGGCACCTTGTCTTTGTTTTATGGGTGATATGAAATTCCAGGGTTTATACTGCATCTTCATATATTTTCTACCTCTTGTATTAGCAATGCATGCCGAAGGACCTCCAAGGGATGCCTATGGCCTTAAGCACCTGCATGTTGCTCAAAGAAAGAATAGACTGAGAGATTTTGTGGTGATGTAAATCCTTTTTTTTCCCTTTCCTGTAGAACTGCTTTTCCAGCTGAATATTAGTCATGCCGGTGGAATGGAGAAATTGAGTAATCAAGAGCTTGAGAATTTAGCTTCTTCAACCCATGATCAGGACAAAGGCAGTGTGAAACAGGGCAGTCACAGCATTAACATGTTTCCTTTGTGCAGAAATCATGGTAAGGACAAAATCAGTTTTTTAAAAAAAATAAAATAAAATGTACCACAAAACGTGGTCTTGCGTAGCTCTTTGGGATCAAGTTATTAATGGCCGCATTTCCACAAAATTTTTAACGAGTTGTTACCATACTGTGAATAAACTGCACTGTGGTGTGCATAACCCATTAGGTTATATTTGTCTCTTCTGGATAGGGTAAAACCTAAATAGATAAATTGTAATCAAATGAAATGAGCCAAGTGTGAAAACAAAGAGATTGCAGTTCTATCCCTAGATACATTCATACCAGCTGTGTGAAAATTCATATAATTATAGACACATGAATGCAGAGTGTGAATCAGTCTTCTGTCTGATCAAACTACTACATATCCTTAAACACTACATTTATTATGTAATCAACCTGCCTAGGACATGAACTGTACCAAAGATTGAGCCATTCACAATCTCCATCTGGACTCTTCCATCTTTTTTAAATAATAAGAAAAAGTGTGGAACCATTTTGCATTGTTTTATATTAATTCAGCTTGAAGAATCTGCCTATAGGTATTCTAAACCAGTGATGCTTTTTCTTATGACATTGAGGCATTTCTGTATTAACCCATAATCATTGTATTAAATATAGTTTGATGGATGAAGTTGTGACTGAAATCAGGAGGCTGTGATTTCAGTCCTAGGTAGTGGGAGATATTTCTCTCTCTGGACATAAAGAGAATATATCTACTGTGAGCTTCACATAGGCATAAGGAAGGGCATCTGGCCAGTAAATGCTCATCTCCATTCAGTCATTCCAACTCCACCCTGATGCAGGGGATAACAGGGTTGTTAAAAGAAAAAACATGTATTAAATATAATTAACCTCATTAACCAGTTTGGTCTAGTAATTAAGGCATCAGGCTAGAAAGCCAGAGATTGAGTTTTAGTTTGTCTTAGCTATAAAAGTCAGCTGGGTAACTCTCTTTCAGCTCTCTAGCTTTCTCTCAGCCTAACCCAGCTCACAAAGTTGTAATTGTGGGAAAATAGGAGGAGGAAGGTGTATTGGGTATTCATTCCGCCTTGTTATTTATAAAAATAATAAAGATAAGATACAAATAAAACAATCACTTTGAGTTATAGGTGAACTTTTAAAATCTAATCATTGATCCAATTATTCAGATGCTGCTCATATCTGGTGTCTTTAGAAGAACAGCTCAGATCTGCTTTTCACCCAGCAAGTTCTCTATGTTCTAATGGCTTTGAATATGTCAATATTATTATTTTCTTCCCAGGAGGGAGTAAACGAAATCCAGGCTACTACAGTACACAAGAACAGTCTGGGAACAGTCCTAGCAACATGAGCAATAGTCCACAACTCCAAGCCCCAGAGAAAGTCACTCTTATTGTAGATGGAGCAAGATTTGTTGTAAACCCACAAATTTTCATAGCCCATCCTGATACCATGTTGGGAAGGTAAGTGACTCCGAGGTGTTAAGAATTCCAGAAGCTGTTTGACATGCTTTCCTATCATAGAGATATAGCCATACTAAGCAGGATTCTGAATGGTATGTGTAAAATTATATCAAGTGCTTAGATCTAGTTTTTCTATTCAGTGTTAGCAATTCAATCACAATTTCTAGGCTTCAAAAAAATAAAAACTTTGTAAGAGTTAGATAATTTTCATGATAGTCCCCAATAACAGCTTGCTAATATAGAAATTATTCTTTGCTTAAGTGGTCTTAATTTGATCTACCTACCTTAATTTCTTTCTGCTTTGCAGAATGTTTGGACCAGGACGAGAATATAACTTTACGCGTCCAAATGAAAAGGGCGAATATGAAATTGCAGAAGGCATCAGTTCTGCTGTTTTTCGAATTGTTCTGGTGAGGATGCAGAAGCAGAGCTATTTCTCCTATTTGTAAAGTTCCTATTCTAGCTTTCAACTTCAAGGGAATTCTGATTTTCCTGATAAGTATATTTTATTCTGTTTAGACTTCATTTTCCCTTTCATTTTTCTCCATTTAAGGGAGTCCATATCATTTTATTTGTTAGATTTATATCTATCTTCCCTCTAAGAGCTCACACAGTTGCTTAGGGAATCTTGGTGCATTTTATTCCCACAAAATCAACCCTATTAGGTAGGTTAGGCTGAGGTAGAGTGACCGAGCCAAAATCACTCGGTGAATTACAGTGGTTAAGAGCAGACCTGAACCTGGATCTGTCCGCTTCTAATACATTAGATGGATTGCTCTCCAAGATATATTGGGCTTTGAATCCCAAATCCACATAGGAAAAGACTTGGAATTCTGGGAGTAGAATTCAACTCACCTAGCAAACACAAAGTCAAAGTTGAAAATGATATGTGCACACACACACACAGACATACACACATATATAATCTCATATTTTTGTCAAATGATTTATTCTGTATTCATTATTCAAGGAGGAAGGAAGAATATAACCCTATTAATGGTCAGCTTTTAAAAATAATATAGAAAACAATTGTCATTATGTACCAACTGTATGTAAAGCATAACCATATGCCTAAACTATCATTAGATGATCGATTGCCTGTGCATGCTATTTTGAATGTTTTTGATGGAGAAACGTATTAATAATAATATTTTATCCCTTTTCAGGATTATTACAAAACTGGAATCATTCACTGTCCTGATGGAATTTCTATTCCTGATCTCAGAGACACTTGTGACTATCTTTGCATCAATTTTGATTTCAACACAATCAAGTGTCAAGATTTAAGTAAGTATAACAGCATTTATAAGGGACGCGGTGGCTCAGTGGCTAAGACGCTGAGCTTGTAGATCAGAAAGGTCGGCAGTTCGAATCCCTAGTGTCACGTAATGGGGTGAGCTCCGGTTACTTGTCCCAGCTTCTGCCAACGTGGCAGTTCAAAAGCATGTAAAAATGCAAGTAGAAAAATAGGGAGCACCTTTGGTGGGAAGGTAACAGTGTTCCAAGTGCCTTTGGCGTTTAGTCATGCCGGCCACATGACCACGGAGACATCTTCAGACAGCGCTGGCTCTTTGGCTTTGAAACAGAGATGAGCACCATCCCCTAGAGTTGGGAACGACTAGCATATACAGTATGTGCGAGGGAAACCTTTACCTTTAACAGCATTTATAACAGCCTTCCGCACACAAGTGCTCTCCAGATATGCTATCTTCAGCTCTAGAGTCTTATAGCCATCATGGTCCATTGATCATACTGGCTAGCATTTTGAAAGTTAAAGCCCAGTCCCTTTTGGAGAGATTTAAAGTAAGGAACACTCACATAAGGGACAAATGCATCAATTCTCTATACATTTATATGCTTTTAGGTTTTGTGCTAGATCTTGCTGTTGAGATGATATGATATGCGACTAATAGAGTTAGATGTATAACATTCAGCCATATTCAGGAAAGCCATATATCTTATTTCCTTAGGTGCATTATTGCATGAACTGTCCAATGATGGGGCTCATAAGCAGTTTGATGGCTATTTGGAAGAGTTAATCCTACCAATAATGGTTAGTAGTGCTAAAAAAGGAGAGCGTGAATGTCATATTGTCGTATTAACGGATGAAGACATAGTGGACTGGGATGAAGACTATCCACCTCCAATGGGGGAAGAATATTCACAAAGTAAGTTTTAAATATTTTTAAATGTTACATAAAATAATTTTTAAAGTAAAAATAATATTGCGCTTTTATAAAGAAAATCTCTGTTGGTGTCTTGTACAAGTATCAATTTCCAAGGATCTGGGCATCCCAATATACAGTTAAGAATATAAAATCATATTGATTGTGACATACTACACTGCTGAATGTAAAATTGTATGTTTAAGGCCATATACCAGTGATGGCAAACCTATGGCATGCGTTTTTGAGTCTGCTGCGCATGCTTGGGAGCTGGGGCACACCCAGAAGATGCACAAGTATTCATGGGGGGTGGGATGCGCATGCGGGGGCACGTGCAGGGGGAGTCACGTGCGCATGTGTGGGGACAGGGCGCACGTGGGCGCATATGCATGCACAGGGGTGGGTACGCACACAGGGTTGTACCCGCATTGCATTATGGGTGTGCGTGTACGCACACGCTTTCGGCACTCTGTGCCAAAAAGGTTAGCCATCACTGCCATAAACTATTATAAATTGCATAATAGAATCCTTGAAATAAATGTACAATTTTAGTTTATTAATTGCTTGGGTGATAGATAATTTTCTTGCTTACAGGAATATTACAATGTTTCTTTTAACAGCAGTATTTTTCCATGGGGAAAATGCAGTGCTTCCTGAAGTTTCTGCACTGCTATTTTAAATGCTTTGTAAAATATGATTATGGAAGTGATATGGGTATAAAATGCCTTGCAATCAGACAGGGAGATGCGTGGCATATGAACCAATCAACCGAACAAATCACCAGGCTAGAAAGTAGATTGTAAGTTCAAGTGCTGCCTTAACCATGAAGGCCAACTAGATGTCTTTGGCCCAGTCATTCTCTCTCAGTCCAGCCCATGTTACAGGGTTGTTGTTGCGGATAAAAAAGAGGAAGAAGGTGCCTCCTGCCTATTGGATGAAGGCAGGATGCAAATAAATAATAAAAAGCCGTACCCGAGTGGAGCAATGAAGAAATATGAATATATAAATCAATGCATTGAAAAACTTCATAGGCTCTTAGTGGATATCAGACCTGGAAGCCATCTTTTAAATTTGGGCCTTCAGGCCTGCTACATCTTCTATTGTGGGGAAAATGGGAAGGGGGATTATTGAGAGTATGGGTGATATATATTCAAAATAACATTCTTTTCTCAGAGAGTCAAGGCCACCTTGCCTGTGCAGCTGCAATGAGGTGACTGGGAGGCAGTTTTGGATGGTGCCTGATTGGATCATGTGATGGACATGTGGGTGCTGGGCAGGGATTTTCAGATTCGGGTTTTCCCAGATGTGCCAATATGACATCTCTAATAAAGTGGAACTTTGAGGAAACTCAAGCCTCTGACTCTTCTTTTGTTGGTGGTGTTCCTTGGAACCCTGACATTAACCCGAATCTGAAAGTTGGGGGGGGGGGGGGTTACTTGGAACCCTGACAGTGTCTACATTGCATTGCAAAGCCAACAGCAGGGTGGCAAAGACATAATGGTGGCATCTGTTCAGATGCCTTTCCAGATGTGACCTTGGAAGAAAGTTACTAACCCATTGAATGATGGATCGTGAGTGAGGGATGAGAGTTGCTGTAGAACACTAGCAGCTTGAAAAACAAGATGACAAGTAAGATACTTAAACTACTTTGGGGGGTTTAAAAAAAAGATAAATTCTAAGTAAAACATTCACAAACTAAAGGCTATTACAAGCTTCATGAGCAAGATGCAAAATCAACGAAATGGGAAGGGAATGAGAGAGAAGCTTCATCAAGGCGGCAGTATTGCTTGGCAGAGCAGAAAGAGGTTGAGGCAAGAATTTGCTCCAGGGAAAATAAATCACATTGCGGTTGCTGAACCACAGCAAGACTTTTCTGAGAAAAGCAGGAACTTCCTAATTTAAGGGAAAGAAGTAAACATTTCTGCTTTTACAGAAATAAGAGCAAGGAAAGAAATAGAAATTGTATCTGAGAGGGAAGCCTTTTGACATTACGAAGCTGCCAGTCTTCCTTGTTAGTATAGGGCAGCAATGGCAAACCTTTTTTGGCTCGCGTGACATAAGCGGGGGGAGTGGTGGGGTCATGTGTGGGCATGCTACACCCATAATGCAATGCACACACCCCCAGTGCATATGCGCGCATCACAGGCACTCCCCCCCCCCCATTATTTGCATGCTTTTTTCGCCCTCCCCAGGCTCCAGAGGCTTTATAGGAGCCTGGGGAGGGCGAAAAAAGCCTCCCCCCCCCCCCTGGAGGCCCTCCGTAACCTTCAGGGACCTTCAAGAGGCTTCCCTGAAGGCTCCGGAGGACTAAAAACGACCCTATGAGCATCCTCCGGAGCCTTCAGGAAAGCCTCCTGAAGGTCTCTGGAGGGCTTAAACCGACCCTACGAGCAAATCGGAAGTCCTTTCCCGAACTTCCGGTTTGCCTATAGGGCTGGTTTTTTGCGCTCCGGAGTCTTCAAGGAAGCTCCTGAAGCCTCCAGAGGGCCTCCAGGGGGGGGAAGGCTGTTTTCGCCCTCCCCAGGCTCCTCTAAAGCATTTGGAGCCTGGGGAGGGAGAAAAATGGCTTTAAAAAAAAGGCTGAACTCAGCTGGCCAGTGCGTGCATGCCTCACATGCCCTGACAAATGGCTCCACGTGCCACTTGTGGCATGTGTGCCATAGGTTCACCATCCCTGGTATACGATCTTTGAAAATCACCTGTATTGTCAACTATTTTTGAAAATTTATGAAAAAAAAGTTGCCCAATTATTGTTTGTCTCAGCAAATTTAATAATAGCTGCTGTACTCATGTTCATTAATTAATGTGGCTTTTTTTTCTCACCTCAAGTTCTGTATAGTTCTAAACTCTACAGATTCTTCAAGTACATTGAGAATCGGGATGTTGCAAAAACTGTTTTGAAAGAACGTGGCCTCAAAAACATAAGAATTGGCATTGAAGGTATGTAAAGTGTTTCCTAAGTAATACAAACTGTTAAAAAAGGAAAGCAATTTACTGTTTTTATTAGTTAGCCCTATGTAGTTTTGTTGATTGCTTAATGATACAGTTTGCTGAGGTCTTTGGAATAATCTACCCAGTCAGTTCCTGACAAACCCTTAACATTCCTTGCCTATTTCTTAAGTTTTCCATGAGGATGGGGTGGGTGGATGTTATTTAAAGTCTGCTCCTCCCTTCTGAAATTAGCAGCAGCAACCTGACTCAAGGCCAAGCTAGACATATAGTTCAGTTTTGTGTACTGAACACATGAGTCAGTTCCATTTGTATTTTCAGTGCTGAGAAAGTCTCTTCTTTATGTCAGTCTTTTTCAGTCTAGTCTCTGCCTCAAGATGTCTTGGGATCAATCCTCGCAGGCCAAATGGCCTCCTTTTTAGGATATTATCCTTTTAGGAATATTTATTACTTGAAGAAATAATTAAGCTTACACATAGGGATTGGAGTTGGCTGGGGGCGGGGAGTTTGGGACGATAATTATACCTGAATAACTGTGTTTCAGAGCATGCAGTGGCTCAGTGGCTAAGACGCTAAGCTTGTCAATCAGAAAGTTCGGCAGTTCAAAAGCACGTAAAAATGCAAGTAGAAAAATAGGGACCACCCTTGATGGTAACAACATTCTGTGTACATTCGGCATTTAGTCATGCCGGCCACATGACCAGGGAGACATCTCCAGATAATGCTGACTCTTCGGCTTAGGAATGGAGATGAGCACTGCCCCCTAGAGTCAGGAACAACTAGCACATATGTGAGAGGGGAACCTTTACTTTTACCTTTTAACTGTGTTTCAGGTTATCCCACTTGTAAGGAGAAAGTGAAAAAGAGGCCTGGAGGGCGCTCTGAAGTTATCTACAACTATGTTCAACGTCCATTCATCCAGATGTCTTGGGAAAAGGAAGAAGGAAAAAGTCGGCATGTTGATTTCCAGTGTGTTAGAAGCAAATCTCTAACAAACCTTGTAATGGCAGGTGAAGACATAGCAGAAGACCAAGAGGTTATGATGCATCACCCTCCCCAGGTAGACGAGCTTGATCGATTAAATGCACCACACTCTCAAATGGATGCTAATGAAGTGGCAGATTAATTAAGCAGCACAAATGGCTCTCAAATGGACTTCACTGAGCTTTTGGGTGGGGACTTAATGCCCAACTCAGAGCTGAATTTTCTTGTCATGGTTGCTATGGTTTCCAAATATAGTCTCTTCAAGCCCAGAGGACTTTTTTTAAAAACAAATTTGCTTCTTGTGGGTCCCAAGCATTCTCTTAGGAGGATTGGAAACCTGAGGATTGAGCTAACATTTATCCCTGTAGCTAAATAAATGCATTGGAACTAAAAGAATGGGAACCTATTTTCAACTCACTTGAATTGAAAGGATTGATTATGTGTCATCAAGTCATTTTCTATTCCTACCACTTAGATTTTCTCCATGATGATCTGTCCCAAATTTCTTTGTTCAACTCTCCCAACAGTGCACTCCCAATGCCCCTGCAACTGCCCATCCATCTTGCTACTGGTTGCCCTCCTCTTCTCTTTTCCTTCCTGCTTTCCCAGCATTAGAGCTTTTTCTTGAAAGACTTTGTGTGAAATATTAGAAGTGGCATAGTTTGACTCTGGTCATTTGTGCCTCAAGTGATAAAGTCTACATTGAGCTGTTTGATATTCCATTGAATTGGAAGGAATGCAACATAAAAAATGTCTTAAAGTCTTCATTAACATTAATCTACACAGACTCAGTTTTAAAAGGTACCATATCATAAAGGATTCCATTGTGGTATTACAGTCATTATCAGTATCATAGCAATGAGTTTGGTAACCCTTCATCCTCCATTATCTGGCTGAAGTAGATATTTATAGACAAAACATCACACCTACGATGCATGCACTTTTGTCGCTTTCTGTTCAGTTTCCTAATATTGACATAACAGCTCAGAAAGGAAGATCAGACGCACTTACCAAGGTAAGCACCAACAGGGAGAAATTGGAATCTGTGGGTGCCCAGTGAACCACTCAAATTATTTACAAGGAAAGAACCAGCCCTACTTTACATATATGCCTGAGTTGTGCTTACTTACTGGAAATAAGCTACTGGGATACAAAAGAAAGTACCACTTGCAGAAAACAATGCATAATCTTGGGCTCAAACATTCAAGCAGTAACACTGGAGGAACGAAGATGGCTGAACATTCCCTCCCCTCAAAGCAAAGGCTGCAAAGCAACATTTCTTGAATGGAAAAAACTTCCTTGTGGAAGTATTCCACAGCATTTTTAAGGAAGTGACTCTTGCAGGAAAACCTGCGCTACAGCAGCTATCATTTGAGTCTTGAGTCTGGAAAATGCTTTGTGGTTGTTCCATATAATCCGTCCTCTTGGCTAAAGATATTGATCTTTGATACTAGCAAGGATGTCAGCTTTGTCATCACTTCTCAGCATTTTGGCTAATATCAATTGCAGGAGTAAGTTTCCTATCCTGTTTTCCCGAAAATAAGACCTCCCTGGATAATAAGCCCAGTCAGGCTTTTGAGTGCATGCGCTAAAATAAGCCCACCCTGAAAATAATCCCTCCCCAGAAATATTGCAACACAGCAGCAGCCATGAGGTGACCACGCCTCCTGCACCTCAAAAATAATAAGACTTCCCTGAAAATAAGGCCAAGCACGTATTTCTAGGGTCAAAAGAAAATAAGACCCTGTCTTATTTTTGGGGAAACACAATAGCTGTCTCAGCATTGTGGGACAATTACGCTGCTTGAGGCTGGCCCTTAAAATAATCGATTGGGAAACATAATCAGCAGGATCAGTAGAAAATTATATATTGCATGGCTCCTCAGATTCGTATTCTGCAATTCACCAAAATGATGAGTTTTTGTGATCCCCTTCCCCCATTAACAACTCATTTCATTGGGATTCTGGTTGGGCAATAAATAATAAAACCTTTTAATGATTAAAATTGATTTCATGTATCAAATCAAACCATGATAAAACTTTACATTTATAGTCAGAACAAGCGTGGAATTCACTTATGTTTACCACTGGTTCACAACTGTGAGCATGCAGGCCCACGCTGTGCACCTTCCACGTATGCATGCAGCCTTCTAAGCATGCACTTTGCTCGCGCATTGTGTGCACGCATGCACGGTGTCGAAAATGAGGCTACATAGGATGTTTTGGCAGTTCGACCAGTTTGGGCGAACTAGTCCAAACCAGCTAAATACCACCTCTAGTCAGAACAGTAAGGAGATCCCCACTTCTATGAATAAATGCCAAAGTTAATATTATGGGGAAAAGGTTTTTTTTTCTTTCCGTTCAATTATAATTTGCCTTCTTATAATTTGAAATGATTATAGAGCGTCTTGCACTCTGGAATGATGGAGAACCAGTCTTGTCCTTTTCATTCAGGTACAGTATTCCTTCAGGTACAAGAATATTGTCATACCTCCCTGCCCCCTTTTCTTTTTTTTTTCCACAGCTAAGCATTCCTAATTCCTAAATCTTCTTTTGTAATAAGACTTGGTTTCTAATCTGCTGCTAATTCTAATTTCCCTTTCTGAATCAGTTTATCTAAATCTTTTTTAAACTGTGGTACCTAGAAGTAGATGCCGTAGTCAATATTGGGATCAGTGAGGGCAAAATCTTATGCAAGCCACATTGTAAACTAAGTTTGAATATGGAGTACAATTAGCTCAGATTAAATATTTCCTTGGAGGCCAATCATCTAGACAAATTTGGCAATTTCTAAATTGGTTGACATTTTTTCCCAATTTTCCAATGCGAGTAATGCAAATTTGGTTAAGATATCTTATGTACTCCGTGTTATTTACATGTTGATGGGCTGTTCAACTGTCCCAGAAAGTATGAATAATGGTGAAGGGTGCAGAAACATCTGGTTCAGCAACATCTGGAGGCCATAGCTTTTTTGGACCAAGAAAAATTTGCTGTAGCAGATAAAAAGCAATGATTGTGCCATTGATCCAGATCCAAATCACAATGTTAGGAAAATCATGGTTTCAGTGGGTACAGACCTTACCTGAATCTAACTCACTGAATAGATATTTATTCTAAAAATATATTTCTTAATTGATGCGTTTATTTTCCCCTCCCATTGCATTTGAGCAAATGGAAAATTTCAATTCAGGCGTAATCACCACCTTATTTTTTTATTATTGTGATTTAGTTTATAATTTAATTCAATGCTTAGCATTTATAAGATCATGCTGTTTCAGTGTTTTTTGTAAGTTATTTTATATACTTCTTCATAGACTTTATTAAAGTACTTTTTAATCTATTTTCCTGTGACTTTTCTTTTTATGCCTTCTCAACCATGGAGCATCAGTGAAATTGCATGTATTTGTATCTATACTCACTTAATAGGCTCCACCTAGGTGTGCACATAGAAACAAGGTACAATATATCCACCATTGATGTTACAAAGTCTAAATGCTGCAGTATAATTTTTATCACATGTGAGCCAGATTTGGTTATAATCAAAATGGTTTACACAGTATCCCTCTAAAAATTCCCTCATTCTCATTGTAACAAAAAAGGTTTACCAGTATATGGACAACTATAGTTTTCCTTTAATCAACATCCTGATGCTATGTATTCTTTTCTTCCTGTCTCCCTTTCCTAAACTACTTGTTGATTTTTTGCAAGTATATAAATTTAGTAACTGGAATAAAGTTGTGCATCAAATGCATTTGAAAAATGGGCTGAACAAATACATGTAGTCACATACTGATCCTAAGTTACAATGAAGCAACCTTTAGTAACTTCAAATTCAGAAAACCACCACAAGAAATAGCAAAACTACATTTATTGAAAATGAATTTTATACATTTAAGAATGCAAAGGTTGTTCCACATAGAATTGGTCTCCAAATAAAACCAACAAATCACATACAAAGTGTACTAAATTGTACATTGCATTTAGGAACAGCCATATGCAGATACAAAATAATTGTCATCTACCAAAATAAGGCAGAACCCAGGCACAGCGGCTAGTCAGTACCTAAGTGTAGTATAACCTGCTAGGAATCATACACAACCAGCAGTGTGTTGCTTATATTTACCTTAAGCCAGGATTTTTATTTTCTCCCATACCCCAGGCAGGCCAAAATCCAAAACTTTTGCAGTTTTGGGGGTATGTGGAATATACATCAGTGATTATTTAATAATTCAGCTCAGTAAAATATAGCAACTTGCATTTACTAGTATAATTGCTTGACCAATTAGATCTAAAAATTGCTTTAGAACAAGGAAGTGTCATCCTAGAAAAGTGACTTTCAAACAGTACTATGAGCTTGTGCAAGATGTCAAGAGCCAGCAATATGAAAGTGGCAGCCTATGGGGATTATGTGCTTCAGTGCAGCCCGGTTATGGTTATGAGTTCACAATAACATTGACAGTCATGGCAATTAAGCTTTAATGAGGTTCCTTTCAAATTAGAACTTAATACTTTTAAATTTTAATTAACTGGGATTTTTAATTCACTTTGAGATCAATACCAACAGAGCTGGGGGTCAAGATGAGAAGAAATAAGGAATCAAATTCATATGGACCACTCTAAACTGTGGATTAGGTGCCAACATTATGCATTCAAATATGTAATCTATTTTGTGACAACCCTTGCTTTAGTGTTCCCAAACATGCCATTGGAATCTAAATGTTAATGCTTCCATGCAAGGGGAAATGGCAGTGGTTTGTTTTTTTAAAGGAATGAAACAATTTAATTTTCGTAAGCTTGTTAATATACTATCCTTGTTTGTGAGTGTGGCACACAAGCACCCTACATAATATCAGGACAGCCTACTAAGATCTTGGCCACTGTCCAGATTGCAGAATTCAAAGTTAGTCTTTTGCTTATAGCAATATTCTTTATTCAACTTCACTAAAAACAAAAAAACCACAATCGCTCTAAGGTATTTCCTAATTACAAAAGACAAGCAGAATTAAACCTTGCACTGTAAATTCAATTTACCCACATGCATACTATCCTTGCATTCATAATCTATCACACTGCACAACTACTATGTACTATATTGTCATAATGCAAAAGAAACACATTACTGTAATGCAGACAGAATGCAACACAATGTTCTTCCCTTTGAAAAGTTGTTGGCTGGTCAACTCATCTCTTAAGCTATCTGGTTACCCTGAGGGTTTTCTACAGCTTTTTTTTTATTTAAGGCTTATTAAGCACCAGTTATATATGCTACATGTTTTCAATATTTAGCAAGCACCAGAATTTAACTTCAAATCCATCATTATCTAGCAAGTTAAGCAAAACCCTAGTCTCATTACAGATGAGACACGTCCAACATGGTAATTGTAAAACTTAGGCACATAAGATACTTAAAAGCAGAAGCAAACCTTGTTTCCCTTTAGGCTTCTCTTAAGTTAAATGCAAATATTTCATTTGCTTCTTCCTCACTGACATTTCTATGTAGATTCCCATCTAGAAAGCTACTTAGAGTAGCAGGCTTTCAGATAGAGAGCAAAATGTGTGGTACTGTAAATAAGGATGAGGAGAAAGAGTTTACATTACCTACTGCTTTATATAGTAGAAAGGCACATGGTGCACTCTGGGAGAACATGTATGTCCCTATGGCAGGTATATAGCTACAGTTAAAAAAAAGTTTGTTTTTCTAAAAGTCCAGTGGGTAAGAACAGTAATGAAACAATTTATGGTCAATATAAACGGCTGATATTATTGCAAGCTGCTTCAGATCTTTCAGAAAGAACAAAGGCTTTTGGATAATCCTGGAACTGCATATCCTTCCTGAATTTGAGCAGAATACTTTAGGTTCTCTTTGTCTATTAATTTATAAGAAAAGAGCCAGAATATATTAAAGCTTCATAATTGTATTCAAATATTTGATAAAAAAAATTAATGTGCTTAAAAGTATTCTGGGACATAATTTTCAGGTCAATCCTCTTTCCTTTTTTCTGTTTCCAAATGCATTATGTGTATGTTTCTTTATAATCATTGTGCCTTGACGGAGAATAAATCATCCTACATACTTAAAAATTAAATTACAGGCACAGATCAGTAATGTACATTGTGTAGAGTTGGGATTTGCCTGGATATCATAACAGTGTCAAAGAGCCCAGTGTATGCAACTACTACAACCAAATAGAAACTTTGATTAAACAATATGAATTCATGTAATTTGCATCACAAAACTATAGAAGCTCGAAATCTTAGAATCATCCTCTTTATAACTGAATGGGCTTTGATATGTAAAAGATCTGAAAGAAGGGAAGGAAGGATGACATATTGTTTCCCATTTTCTTAATATTGCCTACAAAGTATTAATGTTATTACTAGTGATCTGCTTTTTTTTTTACCAAATAGAAAAAAATGTTCTTTTAAACAGGTTTTATAGAAATTGCCATCATTGCTCATAACATTGCTTATAGAATACATAATGTTATACATACCAGAAATATATTAAAAGGCATAATACTTCCAGATGACTAATTTTAGTACCAGCAGTAAAGTGCCGCAGGTTTTGAAGCCATTACTGGATTGAAAAGCTATCAAAAA